CGGCATCTGGCCTGAACCGGGATCGGTCCTGAAACGGCATCGGTCCTGAACCGGCATCAGGCCCTGAACCGGCATCGGCCCTGAACCGGCATCGGTCCTGAACCGGCATCGGTCCTGAACCGGCATTGGTCCTGAACCGGCATCAGGCCCTGAACCGGCATCGGTCCTGAACCGGCATCGGTCCTGAACCGGCATCGGTCCTGAACCGGCATCGGTCCTGAACCGGCATCTGGCCTGAACCGGCATCGGTCCTGAACCGGCATCGGTCCTGAACCGGCATCGGTCCTGAACCGGCATCAGGCCCTGAACCGGCATCGGCCCTGAACCGGCATCGGTCCTGAACCGGCATCTGGCCTGAACCGGCATCGGTCCTGAACCGGCATCGGTCCTGAATTGGCATCGATCCTGAACCGGCATCGGCCCTGAACCGGCATCGGGCCTGAACCGGCATCTGGCCTGAACCGGCATCGGTCCTGAACCGGCATCGGTCCTGATCCGGCATCGGTCCTGAACCGGCATCGGTCCTGAACCGGCATCTGGCCTGAACCGGCATCGGTCCTGAACCGGCATCAGGCCCTGAACCGGCATCTGGCCTGAACCGGCATCGGTCCTGAACCGGCATCGGTCCTGAACCGGCATCAGGCCCTGAACCGGCATCGGTCCTGAACCGGCATCGGGCCTGAACCGGCATCAGGCCCTGAACCAGCATCTGGCCTGAACCGGCATCGGTCCTGAACCGGCATCGATCCTGAACCGGCATCGGTCCTGAACCGGCATCGGCCCTGAACCGGCATCGGCCCTGAACCGGCATCGGCCCTGAACCGGCATCGGTCCTGAACCGGCATCAGGCCTGAACCGGCATCGGTCCTGAACCGGCATCGATCCTGAACCGGCATCGGTCCTGAACCGGCATCGGTCCTGAACCGGCATCTGGCCTGAACCGGCATCGGTCCTGAACCGGCATCGGTCCTGAACCGGCATCGGCCCTGAACCGGCATCGGTCCTGAACCGGCATCGGTCCTGAACTGGCATCGGTCCTGAACCGGCATCAGGCCTGAACCGGCCTGCTAATGAGCCAGTCATTTGATTCATCTGTGTTGGAGCATGGATGCATCTGAAAGTTGCAGGACGATAACTCTCCTGGACTGGACTGAATCACCCTGATCTAAACATTCAGCTCATCCAGGACAGCTGCTTCATGTTGAAATGAAAGGAAAATATTGAGAACTCTAGAAAATCTCTTTTCTCTTAAAGATCCAATCAGCCAGAGACACTGGAGTTTATAGTTAACATTTAGTTAACTATAAACTCCTTGTGACTCATTGAGCTGCTAATCCATAATTCAACATTTAGGATATATGACTTTAAAAAAAAACTATTGTTTAGGTTTGATAGAAACTTTAAAATAAACCCCTGTATTGTTGTGGTAACCATGGAAACTAGTAAGAAACTTCGTGAGCCAACTGTTCTTCCTCCCACTTGTGTCCTCTGAGTTTGTAAATGAGACCAAAATGTGTTGATCCTCACAAAGCTCTGAGAATCTGCTTCCAGAGCTGCAACTATTTTCCTCATCAGCTATTCATCTCTTCAGCTCTTTCCTTCACAGATGATTTGACCAGAACCAGACCCAGAAACTGGATTTTAACCACAGATTCTGTGGGATCAAACTCAGTCAATTGAAGATCAGATGTTGATCAGATGATGACGTCACTGTTATCACATTTGAGTTTGTTTATGATCCAGATTGACTTTATTTCTTCTCTAATCACAGACTTGGTGGCTGTTCGCTCCGAAAGGCTGATTGTGAAGTTGTGGCCTCGGCTCTGAAGTCCAACCCAGATCTGACTGAACTGGAAATCAGTCAGATTGACACAAATGAAGGTGGAGACTCTGATATGAAGCTTCTGACTGAGATCCTGGAGAGTTCAGTCAGTAAAGTGAAGAGTCTGGGGTTTGTTTTCTCTGTTTATCCAATAAAATTATTTATTGACACTTTAATCATAAGTTTAACTAATCATTTTATTTTAATACATTTTATTTTGAAACGACCTATTTTTACTTTGTAAAGTAATAATTTTCTTATTTCAGACTTTGAGACTATTGAACTTTGTTTTTCAGTTTTTCTCTTTGAAATGTTTTTGACTGATGAACAAAAATTTGTCAAATATTTCAAATGATGTAAATTAATGATGGAGATGTTTCAGTTTGGTTTGGGGAAGATTCAGATTGTTTTATTTCTCATTTCTGATTCTCATCTTCCCATCCAGAATGACAGGTTGTCCCTCCAGAGTGGAGCCAGAAAATCATAACGAGCAAATCTAAGAACCACTGATTGTAGAAAAGCAAATCTAGATGAAATGAATAAAAGTGATGTTTGCAGCAGCAGCAGGTTCCTCAGCTTTGTCCCGAAGCTGTGGTTCTGTTGGGCCGGGTCAGAGAGGAACCGTCCTCTTCAGTCTGACAGCTGTCAGTCAGCTGGAGCCTCCATTGGCTGATCCAGTTACCAGGTCGGGTGTCCAGCTGATTATCAGGAACCAGCAAAAATAACTCAACTCATCCAGGCTGATAGAAAAGTTTGAGTTCATTTTTTGATCAAATGTTCTGGTTCTGCTGGTTTGGACTCTTTCAACCAGTTTGACTGGATCAGATGTTAGAATCACTTCATCATGTTTCTTTTACATTCAGGGAAATTAATTTTCTACATTTTTATTATTTATTTGTTCATATTTCAGTTGTAACCTGCATCCTGTTGGTTCAGCTCACATCTTCTCTTCTTTAATCAGATTGGAGAAATGCAGTTTGACAGAGACCAGCTGGACGTCTCTGTTCTCAGCTCTGAAGTCCAACCCGTCTCATCTCAGAGAACTGGACCTGATCAGAACCAACCTGGAAGGTTCTGGAATGAAGGAGCTCTGTGGTTTTCTACAGACTGAAGGCTGCAGACTGGAGACATTGAGGTTTATAATTATAATTATTGATATTTCATGTGAATAATTCCATATAACTGATCATAAATCAAATTAATTAATTAATTAATTAAAAATAATGAATCAACAGCCCTGCAGTAGATACTGATTTTGTGAAGGTTATGCTATTAAAGTCATTTTGTTCAGACATCTTGATTCAGCTCTTATTTTGTAGGACAGGAAGTGAGATCTTATTTTGTAATGTGTTGTATGCAACAAGCTTCAGCAGTTACACTAAAAGCATTCTCATGTGTTTTACCTGGAAAATAGATTTAAAAATGATTCATCTTCACTATCAGGTTGTTTCTTTATGATGATGTTCCTGTTTCTGCAGCGTCTCTGATGAAAGATTCAGAACTGAAACTTAATGACCCCCATCAATCTGACAGAGAAAAGAATCAATATTTTCTAGTTCACAGTTCAGTGACTGAATCAGCACAAAATGAGAAAATGATCAACTTTCAGAACGTGAGCTGTGATGGATATTATAAAACACTGAATTAGACGGATTGAAATAAACTCGCTTAGATCTGTGATACTTAACAATGAGATGCAGATAAAATACAACCAGCAAGAAAACATCATTAATAAATGAATGAACAAAAACTGGAGACATAAAATATCTGTAGATGGAGCAGAGAAGTCGGCTAATACACAACCTCTAAAGAAACATGGAGAGAGAAAAAAACTTCCACTGGGTTTAAAAACCTCCAGCACAACATAACCCAGTACCAGGTTCTGAGTTCATTTTTTGATCAAATGTTCTGGTTCTGCTGGTTTGGACTCTTTAAACCAGTTTGACTGGATCAGATGTTAGAATCATCATGTTTCTTTTACATTCAGGGAAATTAATTTCTACATTTTTATTATTTATTTGTTCATATTTCAGTTGTAACCTGCATCCTGTTGGCTTCACCTCACATCTTTTATTCTTTATTCAGATTGTTGAACTGCAGTTTGACAGAGACCAGCTGGACGTCTCTGTTCTCAGCGCTGAAGTCCAACCCGACCCGTCTGACTGGACTGGACCTGAGCTTCACCAACCTGGGAAGTTCTGGACTGAAGGATCTCTGTGGTTTTCTACAGACTGAAGGCTGCAGACTGGAGACATTGAGGTTTATAATTATAATTATTGATATTTCATGTGAATAATTCCATATAACTGATCATAAATCAAACTTCATATCTTCTGTTCTAATCAGTATTTTCTGAGTTTGTTCCTGGACTTGGATCCAGAGTTTAATTTAGTCAGAACAGGACAGCATTCGGACCCCAGTGTGTAGAAATCCCCTCATGTAAAGCAGGTCAAAGGTCAAGGTGCAATAAAGAAATCTCCCTTCATTGAAGATCCACAAATCCCACACTTAGTTTAAAATATTCTGCTATAAGTTGATAATCATCCAGTCCTGGTTTAAAGAGTCTGTGTGTTTTCATTTTAACTAGAGCAGATTAAAGTGAATAATTAGGTGGAATCGCCCTTTAGCCATTTCCTGAGTCAGAAGCCTCAATCAGAAACCAACTTCAGCTTCGTTTGAAAAGATCCAGACCACTGAGTTTTTCTCTGAGCTCAACAGGCTCCAGGTTCTTCAGGACATGAGGTTCTGCTCCCAGACACCAGAACCAGCAGGAACTGCAGCACATGAATCTGCAGCAGGAGTGTTAGGAGAGGTTCTCCACATGCTCAGACTAAAGGTTCACAGTCTGACAGAGACGGACAGAGAAAGTGGACTAACTCTGGATGAAATAGAAACATTGAAGCTTTCTGGGGACTTGACTGCAGCTCACATGGAGCTGCAGCACAAACATGTTTCAGTTGTAACCTGCATCCTGTTGGCTTCACCTCATATCTTTCATTTTTTATTCAGATTGTGGGACTGGAGTTTGACAGAGACCAGCTGGACGTCTCTGTTCTCAGCTCTGAAGTCCAACCCGACCCGTCTGACTGGACTGGACCTGATCGAGATGAACCTGGAAGGTTCTGGAGTGAAGGAGCTCTGTGGTTTTCTACAGACTGAAGGCTGCAGACTGGAGACATTGAGGTTTACAATTATATCATTATTGATATTTCATGTGAATAATTCCATATACCTGATCATAAATCAAACTTCATATCTTCTGTTCTAATCAATATTTTCTGAGTTTGTTCCTATACTTGGATCCAGAGTTTAATTTAGTTTCTCTGTGTAACTGAGTTGGACCTGCTGATCTGAGGTCAGAACAGGACAGCATTCGGACCCCCAGTGTGTAGAAATCCCCTCATATAAAGCAGGTCAAAGGTCGTTCAACCCAGTGTAGAAAAGAGATTTCCAGCTCCCGGAATCTGACAGGAACAAATCAATAATCAATGATTGATGCTTCAACTCTTTGATCAGAACCTGGAAATATTTTACTGACTAAAATCCTCCAGCACAACATAACCCAGTACCAGGTTCTGGTTCAGGTTCTGGTTCAGGTTCTGGTTCAGGTTCTGGTTCTGACGTCAGCAGGTCTTTATTGAATGTTGCATGTTGCCATTAATATTCATGAGAATCTTTAACTGTTCTGTTAACCTGCATGCTGTTGGCTTTTATCCTTTATTCAGGTTGTTGAACTGCAGGTTGTCAAAGATCAGCTGCGGTTCTCTGGTCTCGGCTCTGAAGTCCAACAGCCTCCATCTGACACAGCTGAACCTGGGATGGAATGGCCTGAAGGAGCCAGATGTTCAGCAGCTGAAGCTGGTAGAGACTTTAGAGTAAGTAAATGTTTGCAGTGAGTCCACCTTCATCCGCATATTGAACTAAACCCAGTTAGCGTCAAAGCAAAACTCCAGTGCTCCCAGTAAGGCTGCACCGTCCCAGTTGGAGGAGAATGGTTCAGGCTTCCTGATTGGACACAGAGATAGCAATCAGCCAATCAGAGGAGCCAGCAGCTTGTTGCATTCCTGGAACACAGCAACACTCACTGACCTGCTCTCTCCATTCTTCTTCTCTCTGCAGGTTCTGATCTCTGCGACGATGGTCTCTGTGTCCTGCTGACCCACAGAGGTTGAAGCTTCTCCAGTTCGAGTCTAAAAAGACTCCGACTGGATCGTGACGATGACCTCTGACCTCAGAGATTTTCCCCCTGTTTACTTTCTCATATCTGTCATTTAGTGTCTGATGATGTTTGTCTCTTTGGATCAATAAAGATCCAATTCAAACTGGGCTCCGTTGCTGGGGTCTCAAACTCCAGTCCTCAAGGGCCGCTCGCTGTCCTGCAGTTTTTAAATGTGCCTCAAGTACAAACACAGGAATAAAATGTCTTAATTACCTCCTCCTTGTGTAGATCAGACCTCCAGAGTCTTAATGACCTGATTATTCTATTCCAGTGGTGCAGCAGAGGCACATCGAAAACTAGCAGGACACCCAGTGGCCCTTGATTTAGAAACTGGATTCAACTGGAAAGTTGATCTTTTTTTGTCTCTGATTAATTTTCCTCCTGGAACCAGAAATGGTCTGAGAATGGAATCATGGGAATCGTTTTCAGTTCAGGTTTGAAGCCGTGAAAGACACTTCAAACCTCCTTCCTTTCCTGCTTCTTCCTTCTGTTGACATGAAAAATGTTCCTCGAAGCTCCACAGATAAAAAGATGCTTCACTGGAAACTGCAGAGAAACTTCAGTTTCCATCACTGGATGTCCCACAGAAACACTGATCTTAGAGTGGTTTTCAGAAACATCCAGCATTTTATCTGGAAAAAAAAGAGAGAGATTTGACATATTTTCATATTTTTGTGTTCATTCTAAAATCTCTGAAAAATGAAGTTTTGCATCATAGTCATTGATTCTCAGCTTGTTTTGATCGTTTACTTTTTGAATTCCATATTTCATGTTTTACTTTGATTTTTTCCAGAGAACTTCAGGCTCTTCACTGTGATTTTATTGATTTTTAATTTTTTTCAAACCTCAGAGCATCACTGGGATGATGTGCTGATTGGTTCATGTTTGATTTTTATCTTTCTTTTCATGTACTGTGGTTTGCTGAATGTCATCATCATTTTATTCACAGATCTGTTTATTACATTCAGTGGTTTGGAGGAGACAGACGTTCAGCTGCAACTCTGAGCAGAAACACTGCAGTCGTTTCTTCCTGAACTATTTCACCTAAAAACTGTTTTTCATTCCTCCCTTCCTCTTCATCACTCCCTCCTCTTCGTCTTCATCACTCCATCCAGCTTCTTCCTCCAAACTGCAGATAAATTGATCTGATCTTCACAAGAATCCTCACAACTTCCTGTGAACTCTTCTAAAGCTCGTCTTACCCTGATGATGTCACAGGATGGCGGCAGCGTCTCACCCTTTCACTCCAAAATCCACAGGCATCATTTCGTCTTTTGATGGAAATGTTTGATTTCCTTGAGTTTAAATCCCTTTAAAACTTCAATTCCTCTTTCCAACAAGGGGAAGCTCAGTTTCCCACCATTTTGCAAATCCAAGCAATTTTATCCATTTTATTTATATTGTGTTTGATACATTTTCAGAAAAATAAAAAGTGAAGGGGAACACAAGCTGCAGACAGACTTTCTTTCTTTGCTCGCATGAGAACAAATTGGAACATATTTTTCTTGTTTACTTTCATGAATAGAAATTCAGACAATTTTTAAACTGAGAGGATAAATGAAAAGTTAAAAAAAACAAAAAACAAAACACCTTCTGAGTTGAAGAACAAAATGTGCAGCTGAACATCTTTCTGGAATAAATGATTGGAATAATCTTTTATTGTTGTTCATCTGAAGGTGAACGTGTGGAGAAGCAAACGTTGGTTCTGCTTTCGGAGCCAGAAGGTGAAACCCAATAAGATGAGCCTCAGAACCGGTTCTGATTGGACCTCAAAGCGCTGAAGGTCCAAATGGTTTGGACTCTTTTCCTGGAGATTCTGAAGCAAGATGTTCAGTCATCGGTTTGCTCATTTAAATATAAGAGACCAATTTTTAAAATAAATCTCTTTCAGTAGATGACTGAGTGGCAAAAGGGACACGCTAGTCATCTGAAGGTTGTTGGTTTGAATCCAGAAGTTTCTTGCTCAGTTTTGCTTTAAACAAAGGAAGAATAAAGACAACTCAGTGTAGCTCAGGGATCAAACCAGCAACCTGTGAGACCCAAATCATTCTCTTAATGCTCTGAGCTCCTGCTCATCTGGCCAGGAAGCAGCTCAGCTGTCTTATGGTTGAGGTTAGTTGGGTCAGTCATTTAGTAAAGTGCTAAGCTTTGAAAGTGGTGGTTGTTGGTTCAAACCCTGGTCAGGAAACTGTGTAAAGATGCCAGGTCAGTTGTTGAATGTTTTAACTTTGCTTTTGTCTCTAAACCTTTGCAGTAGATTTCTGTTGGTCTTAAGAGTCAAACAGGGATCTGCTCAGCATCTCGGATGGCGCAGGCAGTAAAGTGCTATGCTTTGATCCGGAGTTTTTAATCAGTTTTTGCATCAAAGACTTAATAATAATAATAAACATGTTTTATTACTATAAAACATGGTAAACTGATGGTGTTAAATGGCCACACTAATAACTCAGGGAATCTCATCTGTCCGTTTATCAATCAACTCCAAACCTTTTCTTTGTTTTGTCACAATTATCGATTTCTTCCATTTTGATTATCAAGCTCCAAACTTTGCAAGGACTGACCTCACTGCTCATTGCTTCCTCACACACACAAAGCCAGCAGGATAGTGACCTTTTCATTCATACTTGACATCACGCCCACATCTACACACCCACCACCCAGGTGTCAAAGCCGTGTGCTGCTGTCATATCAATAATCACTTATTTCATTCATATGGCTCTCAGTGAAAATGTGTTTATTTATTAACTCTTTGGTGCAAAAAACTGATTGAAAATCAATTTATTTACTGCATGTTTATGTCTATTAAGGTTGAGATGGAGCTTCACATGAAATCGGCCCTTTAAATCATTCAGACAACCAGAACAACAGAGACACAATCAAAACTGTCAGATGACTAATTACCCTGCGACAATAACTCAGAAATAATCCCAATTAGGATTTATCTTTATTTATTTCCTACTTACAGAACGTTTCTGTTTATATCATAGGTTTTTGATGCCTTTCTATCCTATCCTAATAAACAATAGAAAAATAAAACAGATAGTTTTTAGAGGAAATGTGAAAAATATTTCACCAAAGAACAGAATAATGTTTTAATTCAATGTCCCAGCATTCCAGTGTTACTTGAGGAAAACTAACATTTCTCCTTCCTAAAAACAGTCAGGATCAATGACAGACGATTCCCATTCACTGCACCACTGCACTTCACAGAAACCTACAACAACCAACAATGGAGCAATGAAGTTCCTGACTTTTTATTTCCATGGAAGTCTGTTTCTGCCACTCTGGAAAATATAAATAGATAGAATAGATTTTAAAATACTGTTGTTAGTTTACAAATCACTGAATGGTTCAGCACCACAATACATCAAAGATCTGCTGTTGTTGTATCAACCTTCCAGACCTCTCAGGTCTTCTGGTTCTGGTCTGCTCTGCATCCCCAGAACCAGAACCAAGAGAGGAGAAGCAGCTTTCAGCATCTATGGACCAAAAATTTGGAACAAACTTCCAGAAAACTGTAAAACAGCGGAAACCCTGACTTCCTTCAAATCTCAAGTAAAAACGCACCTGTTTAGAGTTGCATTTGAAATGTAATATGTATGAATTTGATTTTGTGGATATGTATGTAATTTTTTTTTTTTCTGTTGTGGACAACGGGGCCAGGCGAATACCCGTGGTTAAACGGACGGCGGAGTCCGGCGGTAACAGGCGCTTAAATTCCGTGTCAAAGGGAAGGGGGAAGAAAGGGAAAGAAGAGGGAAAAAGGGGAAAGAAAAAAGGGAAAGGAGAGGGAAGAAAAAAAAATAAAAAAATAAAAAAAACCTTGGTATTTTATTATATGTTGCATGCCTTTGTGTTTTGTGTTTATGATGTAAAGCACTTTGAAATGCCTTGTAGCTGAAATGTGCTATACAAATAAAATTTGATTGATTGATTGATTGATTGATACCATCTCATTGTAATGAAATACTATATTGAAGTATTTCATTATGTCTCATCAATATATAATGAGATATAGCATTATATCTCATTATAACAATGGGATATAATACAATCTCAATATGATGAGACACTTTCTCATTGTATTGAGATAGTATCTATCTCATAAAGATGATTATAATGCTATAATTATTATTATCTCATTGTTATAATGAGATATAATACAATATCTCATTATATATTGTATTATATAAGTATATAGTACTATATCTCATTATGTAGATATGAGATATGACAATATAATATTTCATTTTGAGATAGTAATCACAGTGTCTCATATTGAGATAACGATCTCATAATGAAATATATTGTATTATATCATTATATCTCATTACTATGTTTCTTCCTGCTATATCTATGTAATGAGATATAGCAGGAAACAACTGCTCAGAATATATCTCAATATATCTCAAAACAATGAGATATATTGAGATATTTTTGGAATGCTTTGACCTCTCTTGGTATTGGAATTGAGAGGCCAGATGGACAAATCTGTATTATATTGAGATATAATACTATTTTGATATCATGAGATATCAACCACAGTGGTGCTGCAATTATATCTCATTGTTGTAATGAGATATAATACTATAGAGTATTTTATAGGTTTGAAACTTTAATGTTTGTGATGCTGTCATTCATTCTGAAATGTATCTTGTTTTGTTAGTTTTTGTCCGCTTTGTGTTTTCTCCATTGATTTTGGAGTTAGAAATTTTTGATGTGTCAAAGCACTAAGCTAGTGACCTGGTGAAACATCACTTAGTACCACCTGGGTGTGGGTCAGCGTAAAGGCTGAGCCGGGCATAATTTGGCCTTCATTTCAACGGTCCTGCATGGGGTCCAAGTGCTGGACTTGGACTCCATGCAACCAGTGGAGGTTGGTGGCATGGAGACCAATCGTCTAGCGGCGCCACTGTGGTGTATTGTACGTCCTCTTGTCCTCTGACCTCTCAAGTTGGTTTGACGTCCGACTTACGTGGCGCCACTGCGGTTGATAATATGTTCTCTTGTCCTCTGACCTCTCTGGCTTTTTGGAGGCCCGACTTACGTGGCACCACTGCGGTTGATTGTAGGTCCGTTGCTGGGGGACCTCTGGTTGCTGGGGGACATCTGATTGAAGGGGGACCTGTGGTTGCTGGGGGACATTTGATTGAAGGGGGACCTGTGGTTGCTGGGGGACATCTGATTGAAGGGGGACCTGTGGTTGCTGGGGGACATCTGGTCGCAGGGGGACATCTTGCTGCAGGGGGACATCTTGTTGCTGGGGGACCTTTGTTTGGGGACCTTTGCAGGCTCCAACCAGAGCCTGCAAAGATGTGATTGTTTCCTCTAATTTGCGAACATGTTCTGATTGATCCTTCAGTTTTTCTTCATACTTTAATTTGATCCTATATTCGTCCATCATAACTTCTATGAGTCCTTTGTTTCTTGAGGCATATATCTCTGCCTCCCTCTTAAACTTGTCCAGCTCTTGAAGAAGTCTGTTGTCCGTTGTTACTTCGGAAGTAACAACGGACAACAACGATCCTCCTGTTTTGACTGAACCACTGATGTTGTTTTCTTGGGCTGGTGTTTTCTTCATCTGACGTTCTCTTTCCAACAAGTTCTTCAGGTTTTTAATTTCCTCCTGCTGGACTTTGAGTTCTTTCTCCTTTGCAATTCGTTGTTGTCTTTCCTCATCCAGCTCTTTCTTCAAATCATCTATCTGCCTCGTCAGATCCCAGATGTCATAGGTTGTTTCTTGCTCCTTGTCGTCGAATGCTCTTGGACTCTCGGTTTGTTCGTCTACAGGCGCAATGGGGCATTCCTCTTCATCATCAAAATGAAGGACCGCATCATAGTCTACCTGGATGTTTTCTTCTATCATCTCTATCCATGAAAGTTGTTGGTCCATGTTTGTTATCTGTTAATTCTTGTTTCTTTGAAATGTGATCTGTTGTGATAGAGCTGTGGAAACAGGTCTGAGAAAACACTGTCTGAGAGCTACAATCAAGAGAGAGATTCCTTTGTTGTATCACAGTGATGTCATAACCGCTGATGTCATAGAGACCACTGGAACCGAACATGTTAATTCAACCTGCTGTTTGAAAAATGCCACACAGTAGCACTAATGACATAGTGGAGGAGAATGATCCGGACTGTGCAGCTAAAAACAATGAATAGACGTGGAGGAGGTGACCAATCCTCGGCATTAAGTTGGCAACATGTTGAAGATTGAAGGCTCACAGGTGAGCCAGAAGCCAGAACTGCTGACAGCACAGTAAACAGATATCATTCAAATGGTGAAGGAGCAGATATTGGAATGGAAATCAACTTGCACACAGACCTGAAAATGCTAACTGCAATGCTAACTGCTAACAAATTTAAAAAATGTACATTTACACATCTTTATGTAATATAGTTGAAATGGTTCAGGTTAAATTCTGCTAAAATGGGTTTCATAGTTGTAATGTAATGAGT